TGTGCACGTATTTTTTTTTTTGTTGGTTTGCGAGCGCCAAAAAGTATCTTCAAGACACACAGCGTGACTCACAAGCTTCGCATGTGCGTAGAGTGCAGCAGCAGAGAAGCCGCAGGCTTTCCATTTCATTTTCGAGATGTATTTTTCGAAAACATACATATTTGAAGCAAGCGCATGCATATATCCATAAAGATATACATATAAATATATATGTATATATATATTTATATAGCAGATATATACTTTTTGTGCGCGTCGAGCAGCTATTTCTGGATCACTTTAATATATATCTGTGTGGGTTGCATGGGCAGGGGCAGAGCACTCTCACATATATACTACATACATACATACATATATTTACTTATGTATATATTTACTTATGACAGTGCCAAAAAAGCAGTTGCTATACATATATACATGTATGTGTATATGTATATACACATGTTTATATATTTAAATTTGTTTGTATCGCCAGCTTTTGCTCGGCTATTGGAGCTTTGTGCGAAGGTTAGCCAAGTATTGTTAAAATTATTTTACGATGGTTGACAAATTGTCTAAGCAACAAGTTTTACTATGCATTTCAAGCAGATCAATAAACTGAATTTTACAACCGTTTTCAGATTAAGTACAAAAATATTATTACTAAAGTGCAGTAACATATTTACAAGTCGGGCACTCCCTGCCAAGCGAGGAGCAGAACGTAAAGCTCTGCTCTGCTCTTAACCACTCTAGGAATTCTCTCTTATTGTTTTATTCTCATTATGTTTTGTGCTTCGTCTTTCGCCTCGTTACATAGCCAAGTACGCAGCCCCATATGATGTCATAGCACACATATTTAGGATTGAAAAGCGCGCGAATGGAAACAAACTGAATAAACTCATGTCTGCTCGCCATACAAAATGCAGTTTTTGCCATATCTCACTTGTGCATTACACTTCATTTCGTTTCGTTTTGCTTTTGTTGTCGTTTTCGTTTTCGTTAATCGTGTATTATAAAAAAATAAAAACGAAAACAAAAACGAAAGTGAGTTATTTATTTCTCTCGGTGTGTCTTTTGGCTTTGTCTTGCATCATTTTCCATTACACTGCACATTTTTTGGCTTTTTGGCTCGCGCTTCTGACCCTCAACTGATTTGCTCAATGGGTTTTTCCTCGAAAATTGATACGTGTGCGATATTCATATGTATGTGTCTGTCTATGATATATCCATTTGTTTGCTTTGTTTTTCCGGGTTGTAATTTTGTAATTTACAAATTGATTCGTGCAACGTTACGACTGCAGATGTGGGTACGCATACGTGCTCTTATCGCTCTCTTTGGCCAAGTTGTGCAATCGAAAGTTTATGGAGCGCTACTCCAGTTGTGAGTGCGACTGTATTGATAAGTCTTCGAATGCCATCGAAACGAGAGCACTTCAAAATTTCGTTTCTGGAAGACGTGGCCTTTCAGTCAAATTATACAGTATTAATAGGCTACTTAGCCACATTTACTCCTAATCAGCATTTCACACTTGACTAGTTTCTTGTTAATCTAATACAAGCCTAATTAGATTATTTTTCAAATATTTCAAACACACTGAAAGTAAATTTATATTATTTTATTTATATTGGATTTACTGGTCCTTTAAAAAAACCCAAGGGGCAAATCTGAATTCATGTAACAGGCAATAGAAGGCATTGATCCCATATTCAACCATGTCCGTCTGTCCCTAGTTGATCTAGTCGAGCACTGTCAGAGCACTCTCACTTGCTGTCCGTATTTACTTTCTGTCTGGTCCCTATTTATCTGGCTCGCATTGTTGCTCCTGCTTCTAGTCACAATTGTAGCCCACGTTTAGTTGGTAACGTATTCCGTTTCATGCAACAAGAGCGTGTGTCAACAACTTGTTGTTGGTGGCCCGGCATCCATTGTCAACGTTTGCGGTAGGCCGACGCCAGGCGGCGGCAGGCAGCGGGCAGCATGCAACACGGGTCGTTGCATTCGCTGCAACGCCTCGCTAGGCTGAGTGTTTGTGGTTCGTTGCGTTGACAATGTTCATTATCAACAGCATTATCATAGTCGACATCATCATGATCGTCATTATCATTAGCATAAGCATTGTCACTGCTGGACAAACAGCGAGTCGTATTTATTTGTTTAGCTTGTTATCAGTGCGCCACGAAATAGGCTTCGCTTTGTGCCACATTATGCGGCACTTTAAGCAGCCTCGCTTTTCACGATGAACGAATAATGATTAACGATGACATGATAATGATAATAGCCGCATTACTTAGCATAAGGTAAATTGATTAATTTAGTTTAGCTGTTTTTTTTTGCTATAATTGAATCATTTATTCTATTTCAACTGTGTTTAGAAGGGTAGAAGGGAATCTTCATCTAAGCACTGATTCACTCTCGTGCTGGCGACAATTACTCAGTAAACTTTAATGAAATAATCAACAAATTTAGGTATGTATGTATGTAAAGACAAATGTTTTCTGCCTGATATACGATAAGGTGAGGGATTTGATGAAGGCACTGCGAATCGTAATTGAATTGCATCATCTCTACAATTAGACAATCGTGCGATAGGAAATGGGAAGAAGAGCAAGCATTTAATCTGAAACACGTTTAATTGCATTAGCATAATTCAATAACAATATATTGTGAGAGAGATAGAGAGACATTCGTTCGACTTCTATGAAAAATTTGAAAATACATTTTAATTAGTCGCCCGTTTGGCTGAGATTGGTCAGTGAAAGTAGGGGCTCTGTATAAGAAACTAAGAACTTAATTAAGTATTTCAACACCCTAACCAGCACTTCATTAGGCCACTTTGCTAACACACCATAATGGGAGCATTTCGTTACGGTTCACGGAGTGGACACAATGGGAAGCGGTAGCCAAATGACAGTGGGTCAACTGCTTGAAGTTAGCTCCATTGAGCACGCTCTCAACTAGAACTGTTGCAGCAGAAGCTATTGTCTGCTTGGACTGCCAATCAGACTAACCTTGACGGCAGACGCAAAGGCCACACAGAAGCAAGGCAAAGAACAACAAAGTACGTTTTATACTCACCGTTTGTGCAAGTTGTCCATGAACTTCTCCATGGTGACTTGGTCCAACAGGACAAAGTCCTGCACACCCGCCTCCCTTTGCATGGCCATTTTTTTGCGTGTTTGTTTTGCTCAACAAACGTAGAGAGCGGGAGAGAGAGAGAGTTGCGGAAATAACGTAAGGCTGTCGTTTAATTGCCGGCTGAATGCGACTCGCGCAACTCAGGTAACGAAGCAGTGGCCAAAGCGGAGGTTGAAGATCACGTTGAGCCGACGCGCTCACACTCACAGACACACGCACACACACAGAAGTACACAATTACGTATAGGTATTCTAGAAGCCCTTCTTTGTGTTTTTATTTTATTTGGGTTTGCGTTTTGCGTTTGTTTTGCTTACGGCTGCGTCACGTTACCAAAAATTTTGTGTTTGCTTTTGCTTTTTTGTTTCGCTGCGCGCTTTATGCTTGACGATTCTTTTCAGCTGACATTGCCAAAAAACAAAATTTAAGGAAAAGAAAACAAATACCGCCTTTGTTTATTTGCATTAATCAAATCAATAAATAAATTGTGCCAATCGGAGGAGTTGCCGAAATGTTTATTGGAATTTCGCCGAAATTACGAAAGGAAAAATACAAGAGACGCGCGACAGAGGCGAAGACAATAGATAAACCGCAAATGCGCGCCGTCGCCTTTGGTTAACATTTAATAACTGATACGATTTGGCGATCGTAAGAACTTGTTCCAGAGCTAGTAAATAATATTGCCCCTAGCCAAAGCCACAGTTACAGCTGGTTTCTTACTTATTCACTCACACAACACACGAAGCAACACACGACACGAAACGACACGACAAACACTGGGGAACAACCAACCAACCACTCGTCTGCGCGTTCGAAGAGAGACTGTTCGCCGTGAAGCGCCTAAACACAGCACGCAGCCGACAGACAGTGGTTGCACTGAGAGAAACAAAAGATAGTGAGAGAGTGGGAGAGTGGGAGAATAAGCGAGCGTGCAATCAATAAATGCGATGTACGCAGCGGGAATATAGAGCACCAGTGATGAGTTCTTTTTTCATGCATCAAAATTAAGGTCTGCTAAATTACAACTGGAGGTTTTATAAATATTTTTAATACATATAAAGTGATAACTGAATATCAATGATTGTTTTTAATCATATTAAGTACTAACTATATTTTGTGGAGTGTACTTGTTTTCAGAGAAAAATTATATTCATTTAATTTAACTGTTTTTTTTTCCCTCAGTGTATTTGTTTTGGTCATTCAATACACAGGGCTGTTATTGCTCGCATGCCATAAAGCTGAACGATGGTTTGTGTCTGTGCTAGGGTATGAGCATGGGGACGCGACTGTTACGTAGACACAAATGTGATTGAGTTATAAGAATTCTTGTACTTTAAAAATAAGTCAATAAATATATGTACTATAAAATGAAAAAAGTTAACAAAAAGTGCTAACGAAAATTAAATTAAAAAAAATGAATAGCATATTCTTCGGCGAAAATTAATTCAATATTTAATGCTCAACAAAAGTTTAATGCACTTGTAAAATACATTTCTATTTACATATACAAATGGTATGCAACATATAAATATCATTAGATTATGTTACGTTAAGCCATCTTCCAAAAGCTACATAATTTGCATAATTTTCTTTTTATAGATTTCTTTTCCAAATATCCCAAAGAGATATCCGCATCGAATTTTAATTTTAACAATTAATTTTAATTGTGCAATTTTTTATATGACTCAAACAATTAATCAAATTGTTATTTTATAATTTTTGGGATTGTTTTTTTTTTTCTGGCTGTCAGTCAGGTGGCTGTGGTCTGTGGTCTGCACCATATAACCTGATCATACTTAGTCTTTTCTTTAACATAATTTCAATATTTTTTTTTTTTTTTTTTTGTGGATTTTTTCTTGTTTTTGGGTTTGTTACGTTATTATATTACTCGGAAAAGTAGGCGGACGGCTAGGCCCAGCCCGTGTTCCGCTTGGAGAGCACCACCTTCTGCATGTGCTCGTCGGCGGTGTGGATGGTGTGCATTCCACCGGCGTGGCGCGGCACGCACTTGTTGACCGGCACTGAGTTCGTCCAGGCATTGGTGGCATGCGGGAACTCGTCCTTGCGGTAGTAGCCCATGATGCCGGACTTGCGGATCTGTCCCAGCTCGTAGGTGACGATGGGGCCAATGCTGTTGGTGGCCTTGGCCGAGGCGGGCCGGGGCAGCTTGGAGCGCTCCACGGTGCGCATCACGCAGGGCGTGTCGCAGGAGAGGCAGGCGAGCTCCTGCATCACCTTGACCCGGCCAGCCGCAGCGGCGCACTCGTCGTTGGTCATCTCCATGTACTTGTGCAGCGCCTCGGCGATGAGGGCGACGCGCTTCTCGATGAGCTCGCGGAAGTCCTTGAGACTGAGCTCCAGCGCGTCCACGCCCAGGGTCATGCGCAAGCCGTCGATGATCTGCAGCACATTCTTCTCGTTCGCGTTAATGACGTAGCGCACCTCGCAGAACTGCTTCTCCAGTCGCTCCTTGTAGTCCTCCAGCTGCTCTAGCGAGACCTTCGTGGCCAGCTGCGGGAAGTCGACCTTCTCGGCCAGCAGCAGCTCCACGTCGGCCTTGTCGATCTTGATCTCATCCAGGTGAGCCACCGAGTTCTTGAGTGTTTGTATCTGATTCGTGGCCGCAGTGAGCTTGGTGAGCATGCCCTGATTGGCCTCCTGGTTGCTGCTCGCCGACAGCTTGATCTCTCGCACAGTAATCTGCATCTCCTGCATCATTTCCATCAGCCGCTTGGCGTCCTGCTTCATCAGCTCGGCGGCCAGTTCGTTCACCTTGTTGGTGAGGGAGCAGAACTCGGTCTTGAGCTCGATCAGCTCATTGAGCATTCGTTCGGGCGCATAGCAGAGGTGCTGGTCGAGCTCCACTTCCTCCTCCATTTTGGCCAGCTCGGTGGGGGCGCTGGACTCCTCCACGGCTGCCTCCTCCTCCTCCTCAGCCATTTCCTCCTCGGCCTCGACTCCCGGCTCGTCGCTGCTCCAGCTGATGGACACCTCATCGTCGTTCGCGCGCATCAGGACGCGCAGCTGGCGCGCTATGTTCCGGAGCAGCTTCATCCGATTTGGATTGGGCTTGCGATCGAGCATTAGATGGGTCATGTTGTTGAGCTGCTCCATGGTTAGCTTAAGCTGGCCCGACAGGATACCCGCGAAGTTCTGGAACTCAATATCGTTCTGCTCCTTCTGCAGTTCCATCTTGGAGAGGCGGCGCTCCAGCTTGGCCAGCGAGCCGATCACCGAGCCCTCGGCACGTGGCTGCGTCCTGTCCGCCCTCGAGGTGCGCGACGAGTTGCGCGATGCCAAGCCTGGCGACGGTGCTGTAACCGGTTCCTGATCCTGCGGCGCCGCCTCCTCTGGCGCAGGGGCTGCAGGCTCGGGTGCCGGAGTGGGTGCGGCCGCCGACTGCTCTGCCGGCTGTGCAGGCTCCGCGGCGGCTTCCTCGGCAGGCGGCTCTGCTGCAGGCGCCTCCGCTGCAGGCGCCTCTGCTGGCGCAGGCGCAGGCGCGGCCTCTGCTGGCGCCTCCTCTGGTGGCGCAGCTGCTTCGGCTGGAGCAGGCTCCGACGGCGCCTCAGTGGCGGGATCCTCATCTTCGCCAGCATGTAGACGATACCTGGACGATTTGCCGACTGCAAAGAGAGACAAACCAGCCCTTTAGACTCAGAGATTAGCTGCAGCACGCGGATGCACTCACTCAGGCTGCTCTGAAATCGCATATTGGCCAGCAGGTAGTCGTCCTGCTCCACCGTCTCGTCCAGCAGCTCCAGTTTCTGTGCGAAGTTGGAGAGCAGCACGTGCAGCGCATAGAAGTTCACGTGGCCCGACTCCGGCGAGCCGATGGCCACGTCGATCAGGTCCTTGTAGGTGAAGCTCATCATGTTCTCCTCGATGCAATTATCTGATTTGCCTATGTCTACCAAATTTTTGTATATATATATATTTATATATATTTGTGTTCGAACTGATTAATATATATATTTTGTTTATAGAACGATTATTTTTTTTTTCTGTACCAAAATGTAGAATGAAATGAGAACTGAAATCAATATACCTGAGTGACGCAAACAGAAACAAATCTATCTGAGGCTTATAGCCAGGCTTGCTTCACTCTGCCGAACCATCGATCCGTAAGACACAGGCTGAAGTAACACTAGCTAAAGAGGTAAGCAAATACTCTACTACAATGAATAGTTTCCGCTCTCTATTTATTAATTTCTCACTTAGGTATTGCTGTACCGTAATGCATTGTTTAGTTAACATGCATTTGAATATACTTCACAATTCCCAATCCTATAGATTGGCTTATGTAGGCTTATTTAGTTAGGCTTTACTGTACCGTGTATCAGAGCTAAACAAAACACTGGCAAGGCAACAATTTGCAGAGTTAAGAAACTTCATTTGAATAGCTTTATCACCTAGCCGAGCTTCACCGTACCTACTCAACGCTCAGTCTAGCGGAGTCGCTGCCTTATCAGAACGCATCGACGCACAATCGAGAGCTTTCGCAGAAAAGCTTTCGCCGCTACCGAGAAGCGACTGAGGCAACAAACTTCACAGTTAACAAACTTTTATCATTGCGGCACAAACGCTTGTTGCTTCCACGTCTCTGCTCAGTTCGGGTCGGTCGGTTCGCAAGAGAACAGAAATTTAAAGAAAGAGACAACAGCACACAGATACCGTTATCAAATTAAAGTTAATGCTGCGAAAATTGGCGCGCAGCAAAATTTTGAAAAGTGAAAGCAACGCAAAGTGAATCGAGAGTTTTATAGAGAAAAGTTTGATAATTGAAATGGAAATGCAAATGGCAATGGAAAAAGTGTGGAAAATTGCGTGAAGTCAACTATGAATTAATTTATTATTTGCATAGCAAGTGTGTGTAAGTGTGTGTGTGTGTGTGAGTGCGTGTGTGTTTGGCACATTTTTGACGCATTTGCATAAGCAGTTTTTGGAAAAATCATGAATTTTAATCGAAATACTAAACACTATTTCGAGTGAAAATCGCAATAACAATCAAATTGAAGTCTTTCAACTATAAATAAGTAATACAAATACAAATTTGATTAAAATACCAATGTATTTGTGTAAATCATTTGAGTGATTTAAATTGAAAGCAAAAGTTTGATCTGTTTTGTCATTCTACGCTATTTGCTGTTCAAACTAGTTAAATGGATAAGTGCTGTAAAACGCTAAACAAATACAAATACAAATAGATACGTACGTGAGCGTGTTTGTGTGTGTGTTTGTGAATATGTCTGTGTCCGTGTGTGTTAGCCTAGTGCCAACAAACCCTAATGCCCAAATGCTTTGCTAACTCCAAAGAGAGTTAAGCCCAAATCACAAATACCAAAAATAAAAAAAAACTAATTTAAAGGCAAATTTACACAGCTCTAGAGTGGACACCAGCTGGCAGCACTAGAGTGGACCAAAACTGGCAGCATCAAATGTGGTAAGTGCACAATAGCCACTTCCATTTTCATTTACTCTTGGAAAGGTTAATGCAATCCGAATTCGAACTTGACGAGTCAGCGACTGCTTGAGCTTAGATTTATGTAGAGTACATATATGTATATTTCTGAATTCTTTTATATATATGTATGCATATATGTAGTGTACAAATACATTTCACAAAGCTTTTGCCACTTGAGTGCACCAATTCTCTTGGCTTTGAATGTGTTTAAATGGAATCATGGCAGGCCGCAGACGTTTCGGCCTTGATTAGATAGCAATACTAATAGAAAATACAAAATGTCGAGTTAGAAGTAATTTTTAGCTTCGGCTAGACGAACTTCCTAAAACTCTACAGCTATAGCAAAGAGTGATACAGGTCTGGGAATAAGTGTTGGATTTCTGGTCCAAGCTGTTCTGTACTAAAATATCACAGTTTATTCGAGTATTATTCGAATATATAATAATAAATACAAACTGATCTTTAACATTATCATTATTCAGTGGGAGAGATACTCAATCGACTGGAATGAATTATTCTCTTTCACTTTAACTCACGACAGATCGATGCTATTCTAATCGCGCTCTATTAAAACTCAAACGCCCTTGCCCACATTCAATTTGTATGCCATAAATCAAAGCAATATTTAATCTTGACTAACGACAACATATATAAATACATATATATATATATATATATATTTGTAACATATATAAATATGTACATGTGAGTGTGTACGAGGATTTCTTTGTTGAGTTTCAGAATGGGACAAATTGTCCTGATCGCTCATTGTGAACTGAACTCAACAGAACTGAACTGAGCTGAGCGGGTCGTGTAGGTCTTTCATCAATCTTTGAAATTATGATTCAATTTCTTTCGACAGCGCAATAAATTTTGACTTGACTCTGAACTCGAGTCAAACGACTCAATGTGACTGTATGCAAGTGTGCGTGTGTGTGTGAGTGTGAGTGTGTGTGTGTGTGTGTGTGTGGGTTGCTGAAGTTGGGTTTGATTTGAATGTCGTATCTGTGGCCAGGTACAACTGATTGGCATTTTCTTTGTGGACAGTGCGTGCCTAGACGCACCTTTGAACTGTGTCCGCCCATTGCTTCCCGACCCCCTGCTCTGTCTCGCGCTCTGGTCGACCCCTGCCCCGCCTCACGCTACTATTATTATTGCTGTCTCTACGGCGCACTTCGACTACTGTGCGCGCTCGTCATTTTCTTTATGTTTGATTCGATTTGTTTTTGTTGCTCTATTTAGTTCTTTTTGTGTGGACAAATTAAGCAATGAGTACTTCGAGTGATAAGCAACGCGACGCCATTTTTACATGTGTGTGCGTGTGTATGTGTGTTCGATTAATTATCGCTTTTGGCAGCTACCTTAAATATAATAATTGTGCTGGAACTAAAGTCTGTCTATGTCTCTGTGAGTGAGTGAGTGTGTGTGTGTGTGAGTGTGTGTGTGTGTGTGTGTGCGTATGTGTGGAGAGCTGCTTAAAAGCATATTATTTATTAATATTAAACGTTGGCAATAATAATTTATTTACAACTCAACACAAGCACACTCACATACACACACACACACACACACACGCATACACACAGATAAATGTAATCTAAATAAACACGCGCTAGAATTGATAAATATCGCTCGCATTTTTCTTTTCTTTCTGAAGAAAACGCGCTGCCTTAGCTTCTCTATATATGCATTCGTCTATTTACAGGGTGTTTATTATTCTTCTGAGTAAAGGCAAAATGCCCCCCACAGTGGCATTTATAGGAAAACTGTTCCTCCTTCCTATTTAGTCAAAGCGCGCCGCACATAATTTTCATGCACGCCCACTTGCACCACCCCATATCTGTCGAGCCATATACATCAGAATAAAACAGAATATTTACGTGTTCGCTATTATTAGGTAAATATACAAAATGTAAAACTGAATGAAATACAATTTGCCAAAAAGTTCAAATTCGCGAATAGTAAACAAGCTTCTTATGAAAACGTTTTTATACACAGGCGTCGGCAGCAGAAGCGTTCTGTCAAAAGGCCATATTCCCCGTGTTGGAAATTTGTTCATATTTATCAAGTATATGTATTTATTATGCTCTTAAAAGCATAATGTATTTGGTTAATTCATAGTTCATTTATTCAGAGTTTCATTCACTTCAGTGTGATATCAGTCACACTATTCGGCTTGAATTGAATCGTGCATAACTTTCTGTGCACTCAAGCGCTGTCGGATTAATATACAAATATTTCAAGTTTGTTTTCCTTGTATGGGATTTTCTTTCGTTTGCATTTAAATTTGACAAATGGTATGTGAATAATATCACGAACATAAATTCTTATTTATTTTATATGAATTTAATGAATGCAATTACTTTGACATATTTTCTCAAATCATTCGCAAATCACTCACGTAAATTTGATATCTACGAAATTTTAATTGCTGTAAATCGAGACAGCAAAACTTTCAAAAGCATGCAATATAAAATATTGCCTAGTAGCATCACGCATACGCCGTGTTGCACGAGCAAGTCAACTGTGGCAACATTTTAATCCAAGAGAGGTTTTCATTTAGAAATTCGCTTGTGCCGCAAAGGAAAAGCCGACTGACAGGGTATGCTCGACTAGATCACAATCATCATAATCAGCATTATCAGCAACAATCAGCAGTAATAGACTTTGCTATATGCCAGAGCTCTGATTGTGATAATCCGTGCTATGATTCTCATCTAATTGCCATAATCATCGTTATTGTTACTGTAGACCTTATCGTCAATGAGTAAACTGAATGAGTAAACTGAATTCGTATTTACTCAGTTGACTTGGGGTGGACAGCAAATATTCCCACGTTCGTCGTTGTAACTTGAATACAAGCATGCTGGCAGGGTATGCCGAACTGGCTCATAATCACCATAATCACCATTACTATCAATCATCATACATATATCTTTATATACTCGGAATCTATCGAACTGGTAATTGATAATTGGAATCATGGCTATGATGCTGAATGCTATGATGTGAGAATACTCATCGTATCATCATCATCAGCATCATTGAGTAAATTGAATAAGATGTCCCACTCGAACATATTTATTTGCATTTACTTGTGTCAGCTCATGTGGACTAACAGTGGCTCCCCTATTGACTGCTGCACGCATTCGTATAGAAAACCATATTTCCGTTTTGAATGGCAAGTGTATTTACTGTATGGCCGTCAATAAGTACATTGCGTATACGCAACGTGTGTCCAATTATCGAATTGCGTATACGCAACGTCAGTCTTGAATGTAGCTAAGGAATAGGTGCATTTCAGCAACATATGTATCCGTAAAAGGAATCCGCGTGTTTATAACGGTGGTTCCCGCAACGTGGGTTTAAAGTTCGATAGTCCAAGCGGCGGCCACACAACAATGCCAAATTATTGGCTTATTAATACATGTCATACCCGAAGAGCCTTATCGCCAGCCATGAAGCGTGTCTGTGTCTGTGTCTGTGTCTGTGTGGCCAACAGGTTAATTCCTAGTCGCGTGACAAAGCCCTCACACACACACACACACACACTTACAGAAAGAGAGAGAGGCGAGTGCTCAGCTAAAAGCCCACTCAATTAAATGCTGGGCGCTAGTAGCTCGAAATGGCCAAACTGGTGAGGAAACATACGTAAATGGCCAACGTGCGTAACTGGAATAAATCCAATTGGCAGCGCAACACGCCACACGATAGTGCACATCTGTAGCCTCCGCGTTTTGTTAGTTTGTTTTTGTTTTATTTATATTTTTTTTTATATTGTTTATTTCTAGTTTACCCTAAAAAAATCCAAAAGACAACAAAACCAACAACAAGCACAAAGTCAATAACAAATTTCTGTCTGAACTTGGCATAAAATAGAATACGAATTGAACTTATCAAAAGGCATCGAATGCGGCCACGATAACGATTAAGCGTAAAAAAAATATCTATATATATGTATATATATATATATATGTACAAAACTTATCACTTAACAGAATTCAATACATATCATAAAATTTGCGACGTCGAATTCGCTGCTAAAGAGCGATAAGAGTTTAAAATAAAATCATTTGTTCGGTATCTTCGTGCAAAGGGTAAACTACGCCAACAACTCGAAATGCTAATACTCTACCAGAAAACAATTCATCATTTCAAGATAGTAAAGTAGAGAGTAGAGAGAGAGAGAGTGAGAGAGAGAGTAGTAGTATAGTAGTAAAAGATAAGAAATAGTAGATAAGATAGGGAAATAAGTGAGCCCAAGATGTCTTAGATAAGAGATCAAAGAGAAGGGTATACGAGTGTACTTAGACACAACTTTTCAAAGAAAAATGCCCCATGATCAGACAATACAATTACTGTCATTATATATGTATATATATTGTGTATATATTTGACATTGATTATATTGATTACTGCGAACAATCCAAATCGTGGCGCTTGAAAAACTTGAGTAAGCTTTCAACTTTGTATAAAAAATTATCAGATGATTAAAGTTTCAAAAGGAATACTGGAATTCAATAAAAATTATACAATGCTTGTATATACAAATATATATACGGGACTCCCGGGCGGGCGCGAATAAAAAAATTAATTGTGGAAGCCAAAGGCATTTGAAGTAAATCTCAATGAATTTTTATAATGCATTTCGGTGGTATAAACAGAAATACCCATTGAAATAGGTTTCACAGGGCATGCTGAAATACGGCGTATACATAAATAAAGCTGAAACCAGCACCCCATATGCCAACATGCCAACTATCCGCTGAACCAAGGGGAAAGGGCATCATCCAGTCGAGCACTGCCAACCAGAGCAGGCATGCTAGACAAAAAGTTCGTAAATCGATTTCACTGATTTGGCAAGCTAAAGCTGTGGGCTCTGTTCCCTATCGGGCGGTAGGCGGTGCGCACGAGCTGCAGTTGTTGCCACATCAATGTCAGAATATGACAGAAGACGTCATCGAATTTTGCCTTTGGAA